GTGAAAGGCACAGAAGTGTGCCTCACCAACCACAGACACCGGGTCAGCTTGCCTGGTTGCGTGCTTGTGCGAGAAGCGCACGATATTGGCAGAGATGCGTGTTGATCCAGAGGTGTTCGCATGCACCGTAGCAGATGGGTGAGCGCAGGAGTATAGTGTGAGGGCGTGATAGGATATACATAGTAAACATAGGCAGACAGGCCAGGGAAAAGGGCGCAGGGGGAGCTTGCAATGGCGGTGGGGTCGTATGAGCTGTAGTTTGGTATGCAGCGCGTCATAGAGAGGGCGAGGATCAAGAGGGAGGGGGCAGGGGGGAGCGGAGGGGGTTCTTGGGTGTGGGCATACGGGATTACGGTTCTAGGTAGCGTAGTGGCTTTGTGTCAGGGGTTCTCGTTGTACAGGGAGGTGTGTTCAGTCGTGGCCGAGGAATGCAATGCGTATCGCGTTCTTTCGCAGGGTCCGCGTTTCTGTTTTGTTTTGTCTGTATTGTCGTATCGTGGTTTGGCTATGGAGGTCTTTGTGCTGTGTTGGTTGTATTGTCACAGTGGTTTTGTCATGGGGTGGTCGTGGTGTTTCGACTGTTTGTCGTATGCAGGATGTCACGTTTCTCCATATTGTCGTTTCGCATAGTGTTGTACACGCCTTGGCCGGGTCCAGTTTTTTTGTTGGTTGTCTTTATTGTCTAAGTTTTTTTTTTAAAAGGGTTTTTTTGTGGGCGTGTGCGTTTGGGACAGTTTTTCAGTGCAACACCGTGCTTTGGGTCCCATAACCGGGGGAGTCTGAGAGAGCGGGTGTCTATATTTGTGTCCATATTTGTGTTTATCATAGTGAGATACATCGTTTGTTCTTGTGTGTGTTCCGCTAAGTTGTAGTTTGTTTATTAACTACAACATGTTTTTTTTTTTTTTTTTTTTTTTTACTGTTCTTTTTGAGAGGATTTTATTAATTTTATTATAATTAAAAAAAAAGGTTAAATATTGATTTATAGGGATTTATTTATTATTACTATTAACTTAGTATTAAGGCTTCTCTTTTTTTATTTTTTAATTATTTATTATTATTATTAATTCTTTAAGGCTAGTATAGATTTGTCTATTAGTATTTTTAGTGAAAGTAATACATACTTATCTGTTGTTACTGTTATTTTTTTAATTATTTAATTGTTTTCTTATTTTATCATTTTTTATTATTATTTTATTATTTTATTATTTTATTATTTTATTATTTTATTATCAGAAAGAATTATAATTCTATTACTACTTTTATTATTATTATTATTATTATTATTATTATTATTATTATTTTATTTTATTTTTAACTTTTCTTTTTAATTTTAAGTGTTATATGTGTGTAAGTGTAAGTGTGTATGTGTGTGTGTGTCTGTGTGTGTGTGTGTGTGTGTGT